GCCGCCGCCCGCGCAGCCGGGCGGGCCTTCGCGGTGTGCCGCGCTGCGCGCCCGATGCTGCGTTTCCGGGTAGGGCGGTGAACCTGTGCGGGGAGCAGAGCTGGAGACGGTGCGGGTTGGTGGAGGGCAAGCCGGAGGGCGCATGGTGGGAACGTAGCCAGGGCAACCAGAGCCCCTCAGGAAGTTGAGGGTCAGTGACAGGTTTGTGCTTCTGTCTCCAGCCGCGATGAAGAGCTTCTCACAGTGAAAGGAAATAGGTCGCGTCTACTGAAAATGCCTTTAAGGGACAAATACTGTCAAACTGACCACCATCATCACGGATGCTGTGAACCAGGTAAGTCCCTGTTCTTTCCCAGTGACCTTGTTCCACTCCATCAGCGCCTTCTGTGTTCACCTCCTCCCCAAGAAGTCATTTCTAAGTAAAGCAGATTGGAAGCGTCCCCAGCATCAAACCGGTTACGCACACACTAGAGGTCTACCTTGTTTGATCCGAAGAAAGTGCTACAAGTGTCGCCTTCAATCATTTCCACAAGATCAATCCATTTTTAGAATATAGAAATATATTTAAGGTATTTTATTAAGTGCACCCGATTCTGTTAAATTTATGGAATGAAAACTTTAAAGATTTGTTAATTTTTTATGTACATGAGTGTATTGCCTGCATGTTTGTGATGGCACCCATTGCCCACAGAGGGCAGAAGAGGGTGTCAGATTCCCTTAGAACTGGAGTTACAGATGGTTGTTAGCTGCCATGCAGGTGCTGGGAATTGAACCTGTGTTCTCTGCAAGAGTATCCACTGTTCTTAACTGCTGAGCCATTTCTCTAGCCCTGGAATGAAAACTTTTTGAGTCTCATGAAGAATACTAGCAAATTTTAACTTGATAGATATTGTGTATAAACTATAGACATTTCTTAGAACTTTGATTCGCTTTGTGACATTTTGAGTTATAACTTAAAAGGGAATCACTGAAAACATACTCTCATTACAAATACAGACTGTTCTGTTCTAGTTCAAAGGCAAGTGCTTATTATTTTTCTTTTTAAAAGTTACTAGATATTTTTTAACCATAGCTTTTTTGTTGCAATATTTTAACTGCACTCAAATGTATTTAATTTTTATTGTAACAATTTATTTTAAATAAGTTCTTGACTAATTGTAAAAATGCAGTGGTGAAGAGGAAGAAGTTCCATTTCCACAAAACTTTGCTGTACATGACAATAGCATTTTTACTACAGCCTTACGTCTGTTGTATTGTGTTGGAATCATTAATGACCTGCTCTAATAAAACAGATCCCTCTAGGATGTTACCTCATTTTTATTCAGCTGTGCCTGACTCATCTAACTTTTAGTACCCTTTTATACTGCACATTTTGTATATTTGAAGTGAAGATATATAGCTTATATATAAAGGAGTTGAATGGACTTCACTACTTTGCTTATTCATTTCTTTAACAAATTTTATTTTTACCAGGTGTGGTGGTACATGCCTTTAATCCCAGCACTTGGCAGACAGAGGCAGGCTGATCTCTCTGAGATCGAGTCCAGCCTGTTATACATAGTGAGTTCAGACCCTGTCAAAAGACATTAAAAAAAGGTTTTATTTTTGATTATGTGTGTATGTATGCATCTCTGTGTGGGTATGTGCATGTGAGTACAGATGACTCTGAGGTCAGAAGAGGGTGTCAGAGCCCCTGGAACTGGTGTTACACAGGTGGTTAGGAGCCACCTGATGTGGGTATCAGGAATGGAATTCAGGTCTTCTACAAGAGCAGTACACATTCCTAACTGCTGAACCATCTTTCCAACCCATCTTTAACAAATTATTATTGAACATCTGTTAGGCATTCCCCATGGCAATAGAAATATTAAATGGGGAAAAAGTGTTTTCTTCATACAGTTTTTGAGTAGAAAGAGATAGATACAAATAAAGTAATTTATGAGCATGTTTTACTTGGCACATGTTGGTAAATTAAGTTTTTGAGACTTTTAATAGCTTTAAAAGGGTGCTTTCTAGAATTTAACTTTGTAATGTATATTGGATTTTTTTCTTTTTTGTTAACAAGAGAGCAGGTAAATTACATTTAAAATTGAAAGTTACTGCTTATTTACTTAGGTAGCATTAAATATTTTGGAATATTTAATTCAATGGAAAGCTAGACATTTGCTAACTGATGGGTAGTTCATTGTCATTATTTTGGGGAAGGTATATGCTGAGGAGGAGGTTGTTTCTAGGACTGCAAGAAGTATAATATAGTGTGGCATGATATTGATTAGGAGGATGTCCTCAGATGCAGGGAGAAAGATGACATCTTTGAGAAATTCTTTAATGGGCTTTTCTGAGTGGTCTGTCCTCATGTGGATTATGAACAGTGGGTGAGTCCTCAGATGAGAATGTTCCTGAGGAGACCATTATGTCTTGCTGCAATGAGTCAGTTTATAATGAGGGTTGATAATATAAGCCAGTCAATGTATACATTTTCTTATGTTTTAAGATTTTTTTTTTTTCTCTTTTGGTCTTTTTGAGACAGGGTCTCCCGGTAGCCCCAGCTGTCCTGGAATTCACTATGTAGATCAGGCTGGCCTTGAACTCACAGAGGTCTGCCTGCCTCTGCCTCCCGAGTGCTGGGATTAAAGGTGTGTGCCACCATGCCCGGCAAGATTTTTTTTTCAAAATAGAACTTCAAAATAGAATTGTATAAGGAAACCCATGTTACCATCATTCAACGCCATCAGTTATCAATACGTGGAAAATCTCTTTTAGGTTATATCTCTCCTTTCCCCACAGTTCCCCTCTCTGCTCTCCAACTACTCATCCAACCTCTGGTTTATTATTATTATTATTATTATTATTATTATTTTTATTTAATGCTTATGAATGTATTGCCTGCACATGTAAGTGCACCGGTGTGCAGTGCCCGTGGAGGTCAGAAGAGGGTGTTGGATTCCCCTGGAACTGGAGTTACGGATGGTTGTTAGCTGCCATTTGGGTGCTGGGAATTGAACTGGGTCCTCAGCCAGTGCTCTTAACCGCTGAGCAACCCCCCCCCCCCCCGCCTGTTTTTTGTAATCAAATTCCAGACATAATTAGAAAGATCTTTGAGGAGCTTCTTTTAAGGCAGGAGAGACTCATAAAATGGATATGTGTTCTTGGAAGAGTGTTAAGTAAGATATTCTGAGGGTTTAGGTGTTGCTGGTTGGAGGGAGATAATTTTTTTAAACTGGTTGTAAACTGGATGGCTTGGATCTTCTGATCTTGAGAAGGATTTTAGAAAATTATGTATTTTTCAAATGAGGAAAGATATTTTAATAGTGGAAACTACACAGATGTGTATTCTAAGTGAATGTATATTGAATCCATACAGAGCCAAGTTAACCTTGGGCTTATTTTGAATGTTGTCTCAGGAGATGTGTGTGTGTTCTAGTGGTAGCAGTATCCTGAGGGTGATGGATAAGAAACTTTGCTCTAGCTTTAAAGGTAGGTATTGTCATGTGGAAGTTGGTATATTACAGAACATTTTCTGGAGGATATGCCTAAATGAGGAATTCTGAGGCAAAGTGTTTGTCCCTATCTCTCTCTCTTACCCCTTTCTATCCTTTTTTTCTTCTATTCTCTGATTCTCCAGTTCTTGCCACTTTCAGACCCAGGCCTGAGTTCTTGACAGATATTCAGTCCCTCTTTGTGGCAAATTACGCTTCATAGTTGTTAGTTGCTATCATGTGCAGTACTGAACAGAGTCCTAATTCAGTTGGCATTATCAGTTTGCTTATAAACCTCTGCTGCTGTTTCTCTAAAGGTTGAATTTGACTTAAATTTCATAAAAAGAGTCAGTTTTAGGGCTGGAGAGTTGGCTCAGTGGTCAAGAACACTGGCTGTTCTTTCAGAAGACCCGGGTTCGAATTCCAGCATCCACATGACAGCTAAGAACTCTCTGTAACTCCAGTTCCAGGGGATCCAACAGCCTCTTCTGTCCTCCGTGGGTACTGTACGACATGGGTGCACTTACCTACATGCAGGCAATATACGCATATACATAAAATAAAAATAATAAAATACTTAAATCAGTTCTGGTGTCACGAAAGCGGCTGATTAGTACATGGTAATGCTTTTGCTGCTAGAATGCTTATTGAGCACTTGCTACATCCCAGGCTCAGTTTAAGAGGCTTCTTCATTAGCTCACTTAATCCTCACAAAATCTGAGGAGAAAAAAAGAGACCCAAGAGTTTAATTTGTGCTAGCTACAACTCAGTAAATAGCCAAACAATTCAAATGCAGGGGGTGTGTATCTGGGGTTTGTATTCCTTATCACTGCAGTTATTGCCAGTATTAGATGTTCTCAAAGTGGGTAAGTTGTATATGTGTATGTTTTAAACTTGTTTAAAATACACCTGAAGTATCTCTTAAGATAAGGAGAATTTTTCTTGGTGAAATAACTGAGTCGTGAGACCTGGTTCTTCCTGTGTATACACTGAGCACTTGACTTGAAGAATAAAGGAGAATCATATAGCAGCCTGCAGCCTTTTCATCAAAATCTACTTGCCATCCAGATCTAAAGCAATAGTAACACACATTGAAGTAGCCTGGAGGATGGAAGTAGGAGGATGGTCTGTGCCTTATGATGGCATTAGCTGACCAAAACATTTTCCAGAGTGCTTAAATGAAAATTCTTGTATACCTGTAATTGTATACTTGTCTGTTTTCTTTTTTAGCTCTCATAGTTGTCCAGAGAGCTTTATCAAATTATTTTAAGGCTTTAGAAATGGTTTATTGGATATGGCTAAAACACCATTACCTTAGAGTTTTTGTTAAATGTAGTAGTTCTTCTTTAGGGGGAATACAGAAGCAATATAATGCGTACTAAATGAAGCCAAAACAGTAAGGTCTTCGCAGTTAAACCTAATGACTAACCTTAAGTTAGCTTTTAATATTAATAATTATTTGTTTCCTCCATTGTTTCATTTTGTCTTATAAAGATGATGATGAATTTTACATATATGAATATATGCAAATATTATCATCATTGATGCAATTATAGTAAACTATTGTTTTACTTCAATAGTAAATGATTAACCCTTTTTTGGTGGGGTTTGGGATGTGTGTTTGTTTTCCATGTAGTTTTTATCCTGGAGCCTGGAGATCCTCCTTTGTTACAGCAACCACTGCAGACATCCAAATCTGGCATTCAACAAATAATTGAGTGCTTTCGATCAGGTATGAATATTTTAGGATGTATTTTTCAATCATCAGACAATAGTTAAAAACTATCTAAAAGGGCTTAGATTTAAAAAATTAATATCTGTGTATTGTTTTGTTGAATACTTTTTTTTGAGAAAAATGAATAAATATTGACTTGATCTAGAAATTCTTTTTCAGTACAATATACTGAATATTAAATTTTTTTTTGGTCTTTTTGAGACAGGGTCTTCTTGTAGCCATAGGCTGGTCTGGAATGCACTATGTCAACCAGACTGGCCTCAGACTCACAGAGATCTGCCTGCCTCTGCCTCCCAAGTGCTGGGATCAAAGGTGTGTGCCACCACTCCTGGCTGGACCAAAGACTAAGAAAAATTTTTAACTATAGTTTAAAGAAATGTGTGGTATATTTGCAGGTGAAGTGCTATTTGTCACTCACAGTCAATTATTCTGGGTCTTTCTTAGCTATGGCATAAACTTTCCTTAAAATATGTGTGATGCCATTTAGTCTAGATTAATTTTCTTACCACTTTTATTTTGATGATTTGCTGCCTGCAAAACTTGGGAGTTTTCAGTATCTTCAGTAGAGCACAGGATAGAAAAAGCAGACTCTAGCCCTGATATTTATTTCTCATTATAAAAATTGACTATGTGATATATTTATGCAGTTGCTATTCAGTGCTTTAAAATTGGTGTTACTCATTACATATAAGCAACTAAGAATTGTTAGAGAGGTCACAGGTTGCTATGAGTCTTATAATTCCCTTACATACTTTGCATAGATTTATTTTCTAACATTACTATTCAGTCAAATGTGAATAAGCAGATAAATACAATTGAGGAACATCTAATTAATGAACACTTAAAGTAGGATCTGTCATTATCGTAAAGCTTACCATCTCTTCATGAAAAAAATTTCAAGGTTCATAGGAAAAAATGATTTATTTATAACTGGATGAAGCTTTTTTGAAGTCCTTGTTTTAAAATTGTGAAGGTGAAAAACAAAAATATGCTTTACTTTAGGATGAAAAAAGTAGATTATCATTTAAATTAAGATTTTTCTTCTGATTCTTCAAGAACCATTTCTTAGACACTGGTTTTATGTATGAATACAGTAAATATTTGTGGTTATCATGTGCCTATCCATATGTTGGGTAGGCTTCTTGATTTTGAATATTTATTGTTTTGTTTTTATTCTTGATAACTTCCCATGGTTAACAGAAATAATCTGAATGAAGATCTGCTATAATGCATAGAATTAAAGTAAAGGTTTACTTGTTAGGTATAATATTTATATTTCTGGTATCACAGACAAATGAAATAGTTCATTACTGTTTGCTTTGGTGACTTTACTAGATATAAAAGTTTTTTGTTTTTTCTCATGGAAATGAGAATAATGCTTTTCCCAAGTTTGTAATATTTCTTTTTTTTTAAATTCATAATTTAAGCGTTTATAAGGTTATTTAGGATACTGTTTATTGTAGTGTTCTATTAAGTTAGAATTGATTAATTCATAAATGCTTTGTCTTGTAAAAATGGCTTTGTTATAAGGTTATATATGCAAAGTCTGTATCTTTCAAATTTTGGAAGGAAAATATTAAAAGATGAAATTAGTTATATTCTTACTGCATTGTGGTCATACGGATTTTCTGTGTTTGCCAGTTCTTTACTATCCAAACTAAAGAACAAAAAGAACAGAGGCAGTGGCATGGCTCATCAGAATTGCTTTCATTCCACTATTTGTTTCTCCTTTGAGATGTGTTCTTTGAAAAATATCCCCTGTACATTAGTCTTGAGAATATAGGAAGATTCTGAAAATATTATAAAGTAGAGGTGATTTAGAAAAGTGCAGAGTTGTGCAGAGAAACTAATTTTGGAATGAAAGAGAATTGTTTTATTTCAGTGTTTTGACTTCTAACTTAAATTTTTAATTTTCTCAAGACAGTAATGTCTTACGTATATTACTAATCTAAACTACTGAAGTAGCTTTTTTTAATACAAAGATATTTAAAGCTAACCAAAACCTTAGGAGAATGGATCACATTTAAGATCCATTCTAACACCGAGACTGTCAGTTCCTTCCTGACCCAGTCTTCCTATAAGCACACCCTCAGTGACTCATGTCTTTCTAGGCTCTTTCCATTTTAACTAGGTCACATACTTTGTATTGAAGACACTATCCTGATAGTGCTGTAATTTTGATAGATACTTAACAATAGAACTCTGAAGTCCTTGCTTTTGCTTATTCAGCTACAGAGGCTAAGTTCAATTGGATTAATAATAATGTTGTCTATATGCCTTCATCTTTAAGCTCAGATAGCTGTCTTCAACCACTGTGTCATCTTTCCTTGAGTTTCTTACCTCCTTCTGCCTACACTGGGCTATCATGAGCTGATATTAATTCCTACCCAAGCTTGAGGAAGCAGTTGACTCACTTTTGAGGTTTCCCAATCCCTTGCGTGCTATACTGACTGCTTGACCAGTTTTAATTCATTCTCATTGTCTTGTTTCAGCTTTTACTTTGCAATATTTTCTTGGCATTAAATTACATACTCCATTCTTACCTCTGGTATCTGTTTATTTCTGGATGCTTGATTCATACATTGATAATTTTTCATTTGGAATTAATGATAGGTGCCTGTGGATATAACAAGGTATACCAAAAAGTAAATCCCCCACTACCCTTTTGCACAAGTAACTATGGCTACATGGCTGTGTCTTCTTTCACAGATCTTTTATACATGCATAAACATATATCCTTCATTTTCTTCCCAGTAGAAATGGCAACAGTCTATATATTCTAGTGGAACTTTGCTTTATGGATGGTAGCTTTGGTTCTTGGTGTTACTGTAGAGATAAATGTGTGTCATATTTATCAAAGGCTGCCGGTTTTGTAGCTCTAGATTTTTCACCCTTGAGCCCTGTTGGTTAGCTGATTTGAAACTTGCCATTTGCTCCCAAGTCCTGGCTTCTGGTACTACCTTGACTGTGTCCTTTCTTTATGTGGGGTCTTCCCCCCCCCCCGGTGTGAATACTTCTAGGATCTCATCTTTGACTTGGTGTCTTCAAACTTCCCTCCTTCTGTTAACACTTTTAGTTTATCTTTCTTTCTCTTTGACTTCTCTCTCCAAAACAAAAATTTGAAGAAAAAAAACCTGTAATGCTGATAGATATGTACTGAATATCTTATGGGCATTTATTAAATTGATAGAATTGAGATTCATCATCTTTGTTAGTTTCTTAGTCATCTTATACAGGCACAGAAGCTGTCGAATGCCCCAAGGTTAGAAAAAGAAAAATGGGGGAAGGTGTCCAGTATTCAAAACTAGTCTCTTATATGAAGTTAACATCTTCTTAAATCCTTACATTATATTAGATTATAGAAAGAAATAATATATGACATTATAGAGAAAGGGCTCTTTATAATGAATATACTACTATATGCAAGGAACTTCATCCTTTTTCTTTAACTCTTAGGAAAGAATAAATTGTTAATTTTCATAGTATGTTAGTGAAAAATAAGAACTAAATTTGTGTAATGGTTCATGTTGTGGTTGTCTTCCTAGGTTTTATCACTTAGAAACCTTTTCTGATTAAAGCAATTTTAATTGCAGTTAGTATAAGCCATGAATGAATTGTGATGCTATAGTTTTAATTCTTGACAAGCTTAGGATGGAAGTAGAGAATGTTCTATTCTGTGATGGAATTTTTCTTAATTTTTTTGTTTACAAAAATACTGTGTGCACATGTGCGTGTGCGTGCGTGTGCTTGTGTGTGTGTGTATGTGTGTGTGTATGTGTACACATCAGTGCCTACAGAGGACAAAAGAGGGTGTCAGATCCCCTGGAATTGGAGAGGCAGTTGTGAGTTGCCTGCTGTGGGTTCCAGGAACTGAACCTTGGTCCTTTGGAAGAGCATCAGGTGCTCTTAACTGCTGAGCCATCTCTCCAGGTCTTGGTGATGGAATTTTTCTGATTGTTACCTAGCAATTATAGGAAATTCTATAGATAATTTTTGGTTGAATAAGAAAAATACTGAGTTTTTTAATTTATTATACTTGGTATTCATCTTTAACATATCTTCAGGGATTATGTTCTTTAGAGAAAAGGTATTTATATGCCTGAAGTTCTCAGGATCACAGACCATATCCTTCTTTCATATTTCCAGTGAATTGAATACCACTGTATCTGATATTTAGTAGATGCTCGATCAAGTATTCGTTAGGGTAGACTGAAGATTCAAGCAGGCACAACCTGAAAGTAATTTTATTGTACTTAAAAATTTTTTGTGGTATATGTCTGTGTTCCATTGTAAGAAAACCTTATCCTTTGGAGGGTTGGTATTTTAAAGATTCTGGTTCAGGATTTATTAAACAGCAAGTAGTGACTGCTGAGGTAATTTAAGAAGCGAAGGCAAGAAAGAGAGCAATCGAAGAGAAGGAATAGTTTGGAGAAATTAGCAAGGCTCTCTGTTTCTCAGGATCAAGAGTGGAAGGATTTCGTGTTGCTATCCAGAGAACCATGTCTATGAGAAGGAATTTTAGGATGACAGAGACTATGTCTTTCTGTGACAAATAGTCAGAAAAATGGTATCTGATTTCGAGTAATATGTTGTATTCTTAAGGAGGGAATTTAACATCTTAAATGGTGACTGAAACTAAGGAAAACCTTTTAATGTCTGTGTAGTGAGACACATCTTTTCTTAAAAAATATTTTATTTATTATTTTTATTTTATGTGTATGAGTATATTGCCTGCATGTATGTAAGTGTACTGTGTCGTGCAATGCCTGCGGAGGTCAGAAGAGGACATTGGATTCCCTGGAACTGGAGTTATGAACAGTTGTTAGCCACCATGTGGGTGCTGGGATTCAAACCTGGGTCCTCTGTAAGAACAGCTAGTGCTCTTAACTGCTGAGTCAGCTCCCCAGCCTACGTCTTATCTTTTCGTTTGTGAATTTCTTGTAAGTAGAATTAGAAAACATTTAAGGGCTCCTTTTAGATTACCAAGTCAACTTCAC